ATTCATCCAAATTAGGCCTTAACATGCTTGAATTGCATGAATTATGTTCTCCAAAGCCATCATTGTTACCTAAAGCTCAATTAACTGAAAGATAAACACAAAAAGGATTAAAAGCACAAGTTTAACTCAAAAACATAACCAAATCATAAGCTAGAAGGGTAAGAAATAATATACAATTATGAACCGATCAGCTGGGTTTTCTTTGTAGAAAAAAACAAGACTACATTAACTTACTGTTACTAAGTCAAGAGTTCGCTCATTTTTCAATATTAAGCGTTTCCATATGTTCCGGAATTTCATGCAGATAACACAACGATAATATTGTGTATTTGGGTCCAAATCATTTCATGTTCATGTAAAACATATGTATCACGCCTTGAGCAATAATTAGATGATTGTCTAGGGAGCAAAGACCATAACGTTGTTCATGGGCCTAGTTGAGGGATCTTGCTCGTGCTTAATTTTGTACCTCACCTTTTTAAATGGTTAAAATTTCCGGCGGACAACTGTTTTTCCATAAAATTTGTCTTGTATCAGCCTAGAACTAGAGAATGATTACAATTTCATACAAAAGGAGCAAAAACCAAAAAAATTATATCAAAAGACAACACCACAATATATATATATATATATATATATATATATATATATAAGGTTTTGGTTTCCTAGTCTCTTCTTGAACTAAGGAATAGCAATTGAGTTGAGATGAGCAAGTTTCACTTCTCTGTGTGTGTGTGTTTCTATTTTATTTTATCACAAATGAACAACTGGTGCTTTCTTCTGGCCAACTATATAATGGTAGAGACTTGCACAACTCAAACCCTACGAAAATGGTCTTTTCAATATTTTTTGGTCATGATTTTCAGGTCAGCTTGAAATTAGAGTTGTTTTAGTCAAGAGAAAGTTCCCTGCTCAGTTGCATAATAACTATTAACTAGACGAATAAGTAAACAAAAAGCTCTCAAGAAAGCAGACGAAAGGTTTTTAAATGATATTTCATTACTATATAAATTTAGAAATATGTGGTGCACAGATTTTACAATCTAATTTCTACCTTCACCTAGAAACATCTGAACAAGAAATAAAATCAAAAAAGTAAGAAAACCCCATTTATTTCATCAACTGCGAACAAGAAATAAAATAAAAAAAGTAAGAAAACTAACGCGACAGCAGCGTTGTAATTCTAATCTGATACACAGGTTACAGACAACATAGAGCATATACATCACAACGGTTCGACTTCTTGAACGTTCGTAGGTCGCCTTTGTCTCAAGGGAGGGCTTGAGTATTCGACGTCACCATCCGATGACGAGATATTAGACGAAACAGATGACTCAGGAATTGAACTTGATATTGTGTTTGGCAGAGGTGTTTCGTTTCTATGACTCTGGGAAGCAACGGATACTGGCCCCCTGGGTGCTTCCGGTGCTGGATTACCCTGAGCTTCTTCTGCAAGTTTTCTTAGAAGATCCATGACAGTTGGAAGAAACCTCGATGAAATAGATAGTATTCCTGACAGCTGCTAACACCAAACAAAGGAAACTAAAATTAGAACCCTGATTAAACAAGGAAAATTCCAGTAAAAACTGAACTATATACTCACAGTGCCATGTTGGAACTGTCCCGCAATGTCCATCTGTACCCATAAGGCCTTTGAAATTAAAAATGCAACAAATAGAACCATGAGGTAGAGAGGGTTCCTGTTTCATTTGAAGGGAAAAGCCACGTGATTAACAGATGGGACAGACTTTAGGGACATCCAAACAATTAACAAATGTGGAGAACCTAGTACTCGTAATAAACTTACTTTAAAAGGAGCATAAATTCATTAAAACCAAGAACAATCATCGCCATAATAGCCCATGGAGGAGGCAACCAGTTGTTACTCCGCTTGTGAGCCTCCTGAAAATACAAAAGCAAACGGCAGCATAATTAAAATTGCCGGATTAGATTGAGCTACTAAGCATAAAGGTATGGAGCTTGTTAACAATATTAGGATGCTAGGGTCTCCTTTGTAGAACAAGAATGCATTGAACTTGAAAATAAGTTGATCCAATCAGACTAAGCCATTAAAAAGTCGAGAATTTGTGCACTTTTTCAATATTCAGATTTCCATATGTTCTGGAACTTCACATATACAATCTTTTGTTTAAATACTAAAGAAAATCTAATTTACATAAATAAGAACAAAGAAATGTCATCTGAAGACAATGCACACATCCTAATTCCAAGTACCTACAACTAGTTGCCCATTACTTTAGCAAGAGCATACTCCAATATCCATATCTTCCTAATTTAAAATTTTGCAAAACATTGAAAAGTAAAATCCATTTATTCTTCATGCAACACCGCTTAAATGATAATAAGAACAATTACACTACTGAAGTTAAGAGTTGAGATAAAAAGAAATTAAAAATATACCTGGGCTGAAATAGCTTGAGTGACACTATACTCGGTCTCTGCCTTGAACTGTCTCCACAACGACTTGCACTGTACTGGAGTAATTAAAGTATCCTTTGATGAAACCTGGTTCAAAGTTAACCTTAAATAAGAAACCAGTTTGATCATACAAACATTATACAGAGAAACCAAAACGCATTAATGGTGTACCTCTTCCCAAGTGCTTGAGGCAAGAGGATCTGTAGAAGCTGCTATTCTCCTATCTTGCGAAGATGAAACGGTAACAGTTCCATCCATCAAAGAAGAAAAGAGAAGTTTTTCAATATTATCTGGCTTCTCCTCCAAGCGGATGGCAGCCATGACCGACAAAAGCTTTAGAGACTGCAAGAAAGAGATCATAAAATACAATAATATATCACTTAAACACAAATAGACAGATAAACTATACTTCCATAAAAGTTTCCAATGATTACCGCGGAGCGGGCATCCTTGGTAATACTTCTAATGTCTTCATTCCCAGTCCAAACCCTAGGCATTGAATCACTGTCATAATTGAAGACTGTCGAGAACCTGAGAAATGTTAACAAAGGTGATAAGCAACCAAACTGACAATGAAAAAAACGAGAAAATCTGTTGATTAGTTCTCTACCGATCCTTCATGTGGATCATAATGTTTGCAGCCTCTTCTCGTGCTTTTTTCTCAACCACATTTCTTGCATAATCCCTTAAATTTTGCGTCATTTTGGTAGATGTATCTTTGTCCAACTCAAAACCAGCAACTGCAGCTGAGAACTTTGATACTGCAACTTCAGTTTCATGATTAAGAAGTTTTCTTATTGAAGTCCAAGTGTCTTTTCCACCAGTTTCCAGTAGTGCCTCTACAGGTCCAGTTAAAGATGAAGAAAGTTGTTTCTGCAAAATTAAAGGGTATTTGCATTGAGTATTTTGAGTAACAAATAATATGAGCATAACTTTAAAAGTATCATCTGGCGTATAACCAAGACTTTACTCCATTATCAGAAAATTACCTCATAATTGATATTCAGTTCTGACAACTTTGCACTGCGAACGGATGATGCATGAGCATCTATATCACGTTTAAGTTTTTCCCTGACTCTCGAAGCATCCCAATCAGCTTGTTGTATGGCAGCATCTGAAAGAGCATAAAAGATAAGTAATAACAAAGATTTTTTGGTTGACAAGAACATTAATTACCTGCAAAAATTCTATTACCTGCACATCCTTTGTCAAACTCAAGCATGGAAGACTGAGTAGAGGTACGAACAGATGAAGCAAATTCTCCTCCTTTGTTTAACGATTGCTCCAGCCTCACTTTAAAATCTTCCAGTGCTTTAGAGCGTAGGTGTCCCAGCATGGTCGTGTATGCAGGGTAAACAAACTGGAAATTTCATAGGAAAACAAGATTTAAGCTAAAATACGCATGATAATTGAAATCAGTGGCTGCTACGAATTCTCAAAACCGACGATACGAAATCTGTCCTGCACATTAATTAGTTTGGGTTTGAAGAGAATCTGAACTATAAAGATCGGGCAATGTTACTGTTTGAGTATTACATAACAAGCAAGCTCTATAGTCACTTTAAACTTCTCGTATGTAATTAGATGGAGTCAAGCTTCAGTAATGATGCTTGGCAGCTTATTTTAAACATAATTATTTTACAGGACTACCAGAAGGAGAAAATTTATGTTGCCAATACACTTCATTATCATGCCCTTCATTTTGACATTGGGGTCAACAGTAGAGCAGTATACAAATTAATTCGGAGGCTTCTAAAAATGAAAAAACCACCACTAATCACAACTTCCTTATTTTCCAAGAATTGTCTAAGAAACTGAAAACCTAACTACAACCTCTATTAAATTAGAGAGACAAAGAGAGTAGCCATACATCCAACGCTTTTGACCCCAACAATTGTCGTTTTGAGTTCCTTACTCCTTCGTCAAAGTAGACGGCCTCCATGTCATATCTGTCATTCATAAGCAAGATCAAGACATAGAAATAAAGCCAGTACAAAAACAGTACAACACCGACTATTAAACTTCCTATGCATAGTAAACACACAAAATAAGCACATATATACACATTAAGAATCCCTCAACACTGAGACGCTACTTGCTAGTTTTAGTAGTCAAGCCAAAACCAGTGGACAGAGTAACATGTGAAAAATGCATCCAAATTTTTTTGAATAAGTGATCAATCCAATGACAATGTAAAACTACTGCAAATATAAGGTAATAGCAGCATAAAATGGAGATACACTATACTACCCAAAACTACACAGACAAAAAGAATTATTCTCTGAAAAGCACTATGGCTACAGTGGTTGCTTTGTTATTATAGTGTGAAATAGCCAACAGAGTAATGTCTGGCCTATCAAATATTAAGAACTTTACATCATACTCATAGCATTTGGTTGCTTCCTTGCAAGCAGTTGAAGGATAATAAAAAATTTACTTATTGTCGTGCCATAAGTACTATCACCTAGGAGAAGTTTTATCTTTTTTGACAAACTTTAGGAGAAGTTTAATTTTTTGACAAAATTAACTTTCAGCTGGTGGAAATACAGAAGATGGAGCTCTTAAATAAGGCACACAAGCTTGGTTCTTCAGAACAAACAATCTAATATATATGGCTGGAAGTGAGAGTGTTGCAATATAAACAGCCTGGCATGACTACTTTGGAGAGAGAGAGCGGGGGTGGGGATGACTAAAAACAAGCAAATATAATCAGATCACGTGAAGCTACTACAACCTGAGAAAATGATCTTAAGCATCTAACAGTGTATGTACTTCCTCACATCTTTCTCCACCAATATATATTCAATTTTAACACATGTTTTTGAATTAAAAGAAAACTTTAAATTAAGAGAGTAAAATTAACAACACTTAAATGGTATTAGGTTTTCAAGTCTCTTTTTTACAATGAAACAAATGAAGAACAATGCTTTGTAAGTTAGAAACGAAATTGGTGCCGAGTATAAATGCTGTCTAAAGGGAAAAGAAAGGAAAGATAGTGTTTCTTCTCCTAATTAGATGTTCCACCAAGTCCCTCTCCTTTCATCATTGAATTAAAAGAAAATAACAAACAGAGACAGTTGCAACCCCTTGTTCACCTTGGAATTTTAAACTAACATATTTAAACCAGAGTGAAACTTACTCAGAAAGATAGGTGCCCAGGATGGAGCTAAGCCTTTTACCAAAACCTTGTACGGGACCAGTTTGGACAGCTTCTTCCAATGCCAACCAATCCTAAATAATATTCATCCAATGAATGGCCAATAAGACCTTATAGATCATATTAGAAGGCTAAGCATCTCAAAAATGGAGATAAATGAGTACATACCTCATCATAGACTAACTGATTAAATTTCTGGTTGGCAATCTCTTCACACCGAACAGTAGCAACCATAACCTAATTTAATCATTTAAGTATTATGCATAAGTCATAGGCATATGAGAAGTGAAGACCACAAATAATTTTCTAATGGGAAGAAAAGAAACTAAGAAACCTTGTGAGCGGGAAGATCCAGGTCCTTGTTCTCTTTGATTACTTTCCAAATCTGTTTTGCACTAAAGGAAAATCCTGTGGCAGGGACAACACCTCGTCTATCACCAGCAAGCCCTCCTGGAGAAATAGAATGGAAAAAGCGCTGCCTCAGTTGAGCAACCTGCATGATACAGGCCATAACCAGTAAGGATCACAGTAAATTTACAATTAACTAATTTTGCTTAGGAATATAAGAAATGTTTCCCCTGATGTGAAGGAAATCAAACGATTATGTTTCCCCAGAAATCTGAAACCACAAAAAGAGAAATATAATGGCCAATATGATTTTGGACATAACGAATTGCTCCTGATAGTAGAGGGGTTACCTCCTCCTTAAACTTCTCCTCCTTCTCTTCATAACTTGACAAAGCAACTACTTCTACCTTCACGTCACAGAATGTTGTAATCAGCGACAATAAGCTTTGACTAATGAGGACATTAAATAGAACACAGGCTGTCAGAGAGTAGAGAAGGATATAAGAGATCTCACACTAAAGAAATCACTGAAGGGGGTACTTTTATGGGCTTGGGGCTTCGGAACTCCATCCCATATCTGCAGAATTTAAAATATCTGAGAGATAAGAAGAAAACAACCAAGGGATAAAAACAACATAACGTTGAAGACAAAATTACCTTCTGTATATCTTCCCTCAAAACTGGCTCCAGATATTCAAATGGGGTCTAAACAAACAGCCACAAACAAGAAAAAAATTAATATGGAACAAGAAAATATTTCACGAGGGTAACATAATTAGATAGATCCTGTTAATAAGCTGAAAAAGTATGCCCAGACCTTTGTTTTATCACGTATAACAAACAGTAACGTAGTTTTACGGGGGCTGAACAAGCGCATCATAACCTATATACATTCAAAACCAGAATTTCATTAACCCACATTAAATGAATAGACAGTAGAGATATAGACATGATTCAAGTGTACCTGAAAAACTGTTTTCAGTAAAGGTTTGTTTGCAGCTTGCTCGCGACCTATATCATGACACCACCTATATATAATCCAATCTCCAATTAATTTTAAATTACATGTATATGTACAATCAAAAAATATGTATTGACATGACTTTCCAGATAAGAAGTCATGTAGACGATATATTGTTGTCACTATGAGCCTACGTATATACTGTTATCTTCAAATGTCAATCAACTTCAGGACTCTGAATTACAAGTTCCTAATGTGAATAGCCCCCGTTTCATGAAGGGCAAAGTCCTAATTAAACACTCACTGAGAATGAAATGATATCAGAAGCTTCTTTCCTAGGAATATAGATGTTGAAAACCAATTTGAAACTAACTTTGTCTTGCTAAAACAAACTGACACGAGATACCAATGCATGTGACAATCTTAAATGGACGTCTACTCATTTGACATAACACTTACCAGAACAAGTTACAACCCACTAACAAATTGGAGTAACCACTACATATATGGCCATCAACTATGCAAAGTAAGGTACGTTATCAGCCAGGTAATTCCAAGATAAACCAAAAAACAAGCTTACATATTTATCAGCACAATGTCTGCAACTGCCAGGGCAAATAGGGCACTTTGCTTCTCGAATGTAGTATCATCCTGGAAAAGAACAGAATTGCTGAGGAAGCATGAAGAGCGATTAAATCTGAGAACAACTACATTTTACATAGAGAAGTTATGAAAAGTTTAAAATGTGAATAGAACTAGGCATTATATAGCTCAGATTATATCCCTCGCCAAAAAAGAACAAATGGGGTTTTAACAGAAAGCTGATTACCTCGCCTCTCTCCCTGCCATCGGTACCCTCCAAATCCATGGCAATCGTGCAAGGCTCAATGCCAACACACTTGGCTATCCAAATACCCTTAGTTGTTTGGTTCCTGGAGTAAATAGATACACATATATATATTTAGCACCAATTCTAAAGCAAATTGAGTATATGACCAACTGAAAAGCTAACCTTCCACTGTATGCATCCATCTCCCTAAACTTAGTGTGGAACAGATGGTTCAATAAAGTGCTCTTCCCTGTGATTTCATAGGCAATTAATTACCCCAATATTGCTCAAGCTCAATCAATTAAATTAATTAAAGTAAAAAAGCTTTCTTTTACCGCTGCTCTGAGGACCCATGATGGCAACCACAGCATAGGAGAGTCCACACTCAGCAAGCTTCACTTCCTTGACGAACCTGTCGAGCCCGGAGGAGTTAAACTCACCATCTCCATAGATGAGTTGTGTGGCGCAGCAATCTTCCTCCATGAATACAATACTCTCAAAATCTCCAACTCTGAGAGCCCAAATCTAGCCTTCAAGGTTCCAACTTTCAAGCGCCGACTTATATAAACTTGGAGAGCAAGACGACCCAGATTCTATGCTGCCTTTGAACTCAAGCCTTCTTCTTCTGAGTAAGTAAAGCTTCTTCTTGCTTGAAGAGCAAACAGAGTAAATAAAAAAGTAAAGAGTAGAGAGAGGGACTGGTGTCTCTTCTAAATTTCTAATCTCGATTTTTCATAGTATCGAGATCTCTTCTTCTTCTTTTCTTTTTTTTTTCTTTTTTTTTTTTTTTTTCTGGTTTCAAGAAAATTGGCCATGTGTCGTTGAATTCGTTTGTATTATCGTTGGTGGCCGAATTGGATTCGCCACCTAACTCCTCTCTCTCTCTCTCTCTCTCTCTCTACAATGAAAGCTTCGTTTTTATCGGTCACTTGTCAAATAAATTTACTTCGGTGAATTTTACCGCTGAATAATTTATATGATTTGTTTAAAAAATATACTTACATATTTTCACATTATTTTTGTTCATCCACAAGCAGTAATTACTTTTGTGTCCAAACAAAAAATAATAATTACTTTCGTGAAAAGGTACTGTTGATGTATGCCTGATTAAAAGAATTTAATAAATAAAAGTTTTGACATGCTGATATTAATGCAGCTACATTTTCTGGTTCTATGTTACCTAATTTAATATGTCAAGTCTGCTTAAGCAAATATGGGGAAAAAAGAAATTTGAATTTGAATATTCAAAGTATACGTGACACAAAAGGAAAAAAAATTTAAAAGGAAGGGTGATTCGTATTTACGGAATTAATTTAGACGGTATTTAGATAATTGGAATTTGGGTCGAATTGTGTCAAGTAAATCCTCTCGAAATTGGAAATTATATCATTCGAAATTTAGATGGTATATTCAACTTTTTTATACTTCGAAAATGAGAAGGCTTTTTCAAACTTTATTTCTGGTTAATTCTTTTGTTTGTTTACAGCCCACATGAAGTCCGGTTGGTAACAAGGCCAAGATGCAGTTTGGGTCAAGCCTAGTAGGTAGTGATGGGCTAGGCCTTCGAGTGTCAAGCTCCATTTTGTGTCCAGTCTTATCATTTGCTCAATGTCCTCTGCTCGTGCCACTCTTAAGAAAAAAACTTACATGGTCAGTAAGGGTGAGCTGAATGTGTTCCTTACTCTGTATTTGAGTTTGAATCTCTCTCCCCGTTGGTTAGATTATATTAAAGTAGAATATCGTTTATATAAAATAAAAATCAAAACAAAAACTAGCGGAAAATGGTGCTGACTTGCAAACAAGTAGTTTTATATTTTAACCCTCATAACACTTTGGTTGGTAGCGTGTGAGAGAGAATCTTCCCTCCCCCTTGTAGATAAAACTAGGGAGCTTTGGTTTAAACTCAATAGGGAGTTTACTACTGTGATAGAAAGCCCTAAGGAAAAATCTCAGCCACTGTCCCGCAGTGGCCTCCCTCCCTACCCTCATCCTCTTCCTTCTCCTCATCACCTCTCCTCTCCTTCCCTTCCTTCCCCACCTTCTTTGTTCTTTTGTTTTGTGATGTGGAAGCATTTGCCTTGAAACAATGTTATGGCCATGAAATAGTCGTCATCTTTTGGCCCACGCATTTAAGGACAATGTCGGCGTGCGTCGGGTTTGCGATAGCTGATATGGCTCTATGTCTCTCTTCGGGTTGCTCTGGAGGATGTGGAGCCTTGCTTTTTTGTTTGTTTAAGTCTAATAACTCATGAACTCTTTAGAAGTTTGTTGTGGTTTGTCTTATCTTTAGGTTTTTATTATTTCCATTTAGCATGTTGTTCAAATCAATTTTGGTTGTGCTTGATTCTCTTCAAATCAATTAAACATGTTGTTGCGTTTTGTTTTAGTCATCGTTACTTTGTACTTTTGTTTTTTATCAATAAAAAACTAATCGTTTATTCTAAACAAAATATGCAACAAACAGAACCACTGTTTCATTTGAAGAGAACGGAACATTGTTTGTCAGATGGACAAGACAGTTGGGACTTCCAAGTAATTAACAATGTGCACAAACTTAGTACTATGAACGGCCATAATTACTTTGAAAGGTGCATAAATTGGTTGAAACCATGAACGACAATCGCCATAGTAGCCCACGGAGGAGGCAACCAGTTGTTACTCTGTTTGTAAGCCTCCTGAGAATACAAAAGCAAACAGCATCATACATACGTTTGCAGGATTAGATTGAACTTCTAAACATAAAGATGGATTAAAAATATTAGGATGCCGGGTTTTCTTTGTAGAAAAACAAGAATACATAAACTTGCCGTTACCAAGTCAAGAATTAGCTCATTTTCCAATATTGAGTGTTTCGTTCCGGAACTTCATATATACAATGTTTCTCTTTTCACTACTAAACCAAATCCAATCTACATGAATAAGAACTCCATCCCAAATGTCATGCACAATGCACACATCATATTTCAAAGTTTCTACGACTACTTGCCCATTGCATTTCCAAGTACATACATCACTAGTTAGATCTCCATAATTCAAATCCATACAAAAGAAGTTATAAAATATACCTGCGCTAAAATAGCTTCAGTGACACTAAACTCAGTCTCTATTTTGAACTCTTCCCACAAGGACTTACACTGCACTGGAGTAATTAAGGTATCTCTTGTAGAAACCTAGTTCAAAGTTAACCTTTAATAAGAAACCAGTTTGATGATAGAAAACTTATACAAATGAACCAAAACCCATAAAATGGTACCTCTTCCCAAGTGCTTGAGGCAAGAGGGTATGCAGAAGCTCCTATTCTCCTATCTTGTGAAGATGAAACAATAACAGTTCCATCCAACATAGAAGAAAAGAGAACTTTTTCAATATTATCTGGCTTCTCATCCAAGCGGATGGCAGCCATGATTGACAAAAGGTTCAAAGCCTGCGAGAAATATATAATAAAAGACATTAAAATATCACTTTAACACAAAAAGATAGAATATTCTTTCACAAAAGTTCCCAATGATTACTGCAGAGCGAGCATCCTTGGTAATACTTCTGATGTCTTCTTTTTCAGTCCAAACCCGAGGCATTGAATCACTGTCACAATTGAAGACTCTGAAAAACCTGAGAAATGTTAACATAGATGATAAGCAACCAAAATGACAAGGAAAAAAGAAGAGAAAATATATTGACAACAAGTCCTCTACCGATCCTTCATGTGGATCATAATTTTTATAGCCTCTTCTCTTGCAACTTTCTCCACCACATTCCTTGAGTAATCCCTTAAATGTTGCAACATTTTGGCAATTGTTTCTTTGTCCAACTCAAAATCGGAAATTGCAGTTGAAAACTTTGATATTGCAACTTCAGTTTCACGATTAAGTAGTTTTCTTATTGAACCCCAAGTGTCTTTTCCACCAGTTTCAAGTAGAGCCTCTACTGGCCCAGTTAAAGATGCAGACAGTTGTCTCTGCAAAATTAAAGGTTATTTTCGTTAAGAAATTTGAGTAACAACATATTATCAACACGAGTTTAAAAGTATTCTAAGTCATATAATACCCAAGATTTTAATAGATTATTACAAGATTACCTCATAATTGAAATTCAATTCTGACAACTTTGCACTACAAATGGATGATGCATGTGCATCTATATCACGTTGAAGTTTTTCGTGAACTCTAGAAGCATCCCAATTAGCTTGTTGTATGGCAGCATCTGAAAGGAGAAACATGTTAAGTAGTACTAACAACAAAGGTTTTGTTTGGTGGACAAACATGTTAATTACCTGCACATCCTTTGTCAAACTCAAGCATAGAAGACTGAGAACAGGTACGAACAGATAAAGTAAATCCTTCTCCTTTGTTTAACGATTGTTCCAGCCTCACTTTAAAATCTTCAAGTGCTTTAGAATGTACATGTCCCAGCATGGTCGTGTACGCAGGGTAAACAAACTGTAAAATTAAGAGTAAAGGGAGATTTAAACTAAAATAAGCATGACAACTGACATTAGTGGCTGTTATGAATTCTCAAAACCCACCACACTAAATCCAACCCACCTTTTAATAAGTTCTGGTTTAAAGATAATATGAACAATAAACATCAGGCAATGCTACTTTCAAGTATTACATAACAAGGAAACTCCATTTGTCAAATCAAGTTCTCAGAGTGAGCTTTGTCAATCTAAGCGTTTGGTAATAATTAGAAGAAGTTGTGCATCGTTAATGATGTTTTTCTGCACATTTTACAACTTTTTCAAAGGGCTACCTGAGGGAGAAAGTTTAGGCTGCCAATCGTCATTATCATGCCTTTCATTTTGAGATGGGTTCCCGAGACACGAGTGTGTAATGTGGTATTGAAAATAATTTAGAGGCTACTAAAACTTAAAAACCACTACAAATCACGACCTCCTTATTTACAAGGATTGTCTAAGCAACTGAAAACCTAACTAAAATCTCTGTTAGATTAGAAAGACGAAGAGAGTAGCCATACATCCAACGCTTTTGACTCCAACAGCTGTCGTTTTGAGTTCCTTGCAACTTCGTCAAAGTAGATGGTGGCCTCTGTGTCATATCTATGACGCACAAGCAGGATCAAGACATACAAATAAAGTCATAACTAGAAACAATACAGGCCCATAAAACACTAACAATAAAAACTTCAATAATGCATAGAAAGCACACACACAAATAAGCGGACACACACGCATTTAAGAATCTGTTCACAAGGAAACACTACGTACTTGCTCGTTTTAGTGGTTAGGCAAAAAACAATGCACATAGCACGTAGCATGCGAAAGAGTGAATTGTATCCTATTTGAATAAGTGGTCAATCCAACAGACAATGTAAAACTACTATGACTCTATGGTAATAGTAGAAGCATGGGCTCTAATAGCATATGATTCATTTTAGAAACATAAAATGGACATACCCTATGCTTAACTGGTATTTGGTTTTCCAAATCTCCTTTTTTTACAATGAAACAAATGATGAACAAGACTTCATAAATTTTTTTCTTAAAGAACAAGATTAAACAAAACAAAATTGGTGCAAAGTACAATGCTTGCTAAAGGGAAAAAGAAAGGAAACATGGTTTTTCTTCTTCTACTTAGATGTTCCACCAAATCCCCCTCCCTCCATAATTTAATTTATATGAAAATCATGAACTTAGATAGTTACAACCACTCCCTGTTCATTTTTGGAATTTTGAACTCACATATTTAAACCATAGTGTAACTTACTTAGAAAGATAGGTGCTTAAAATGGAGCTGAGCCTTTTACCAAAACCTTGTACGGGGCCAATTTGGACAGCTTCTTCCAATGCCAGCCAATCCTAAATCATGTTCATCCAAGGAATGAACAATAAAACCTTCTCGATCATATTAAGTATAAGCTTCTAAAAAATGGAGATAAATGAGTACCTCATCGAAGATCAACTGACTGAATTTCTGGTTGGCTATCTCTTCACACCGAGCAGTAGCAGCCATAACCTAATTAAATCAGTAACATAATTACTTATGTATATGTTCTATGCGTATGAGAAGCAAAGTTTGAAAACGCTAAGGCCTTAGCCGAGGCGTTTTACCTCCCGTGAGAAACATAGGATGTAAGCCTTTTATGCCTTTCAAGGCGTACTAAAAATATGTGAAAAATATATATTCTAGTGAAAAATACCATGAAAAATATATATATAATATAGTTAAAAAATAATCAATTTTCATTTAGAAGGAAAAACACCAGACAAGACTTAGCTCATTTGTCAATATTAAGGACCTATTTGGGAGTGCATCTAGAAAGGTTAAAAGCGCTTCTGACAGTGTTTGGCAAAAAGTTTAGAAGCGCTTTAAGTGCTTTTCCAGGAAGCACTTGGATTTTTTTTTATTTAAAAAAATCGCTTATGAGCATAGAGAAGCAGTTCCAAATGAGCCGTAAGTGTTTCCATATGTTCCATAACCTCATATATAAACGAAGTTTCTTTTATTTTCACTACTAACCAAATCCAATCTACATCAATAAGAACTCCATCCCAAATGTCATACACAATGCACCCAACCTATTCCCAAGTTTACACTACTAGTTGCCGTTGCATTTGCAAGAAAATACACCAATATTTCATATCTCCAAAATTTATATCCATGCAGGAGTTTTAGGAAAAACAAAATCCATTTATTCTTGAAGGAGCACTGCTTAAATGAAAATGAAAACATACTAAAGTTAAGCGTAAGGTAAGAGAAGTTATAAAACGTACATGTGCTGAAATAGCTTGTGTGACACCATTCTCAGTCTCCGCTATGAACTGTCTCCACAAGGACTGGCACTGCACTGGAGTAATTAAGGTATTCTTTGAAGAAACCTAGTTCAAATTAACCTTTAATAAGGAACCAGTTTGATTAGATAAAAAGTTTACAGATAACGCAAAACACATTAAATGGTACCTCTTCCCAATTGCTTGAGGCGAGAGGGTCTACAGAGGCTCCGATTTCCCTATCTTGTGAAGATGAAACAGTAACAGCTCCATCCATTAGAGAAGAAAAGAGAACTTTTTCAATATGATCTGGCTTCTCATCCAAGCGGATGGCAGCCATGACGGACAAAAGCTTCATAGACTGCAAGAAAGATAAAATAAAATAAACTAAAATAAAACGTTAACACAAACGGACAGATAACTATTCTTCCATAAAAGTTCCCAATGATTACCGCAGAGCGAGCATCCTTGGTAATACTTCTAATGTCTTCTTTACCAGTCCAAACCCGAAGCATTGAATCACTGTCATAATTGAAGACTGTGGAAAACCTGAGACATTTTAACAGAAATGATAAGCAATCAAAATGACAACGAAAAAAGAAGCGAAAATATATTGACAACAAGTCCTTTACCGATCCTTCATGTGGATCATAATTTTCGTAGCCTCTTCCCTTGCTTTTTTCTCCACCACATTCCTTGAGTAATCCCTTAAATGTTGCAACATTTGGGCAATTGTTGCTTTGTCCAACTCAAAATCGGCAACTACAGTTGAAAACTCTGATATAGCAACTTCAGTTTCACGATTAAGAAGTTTTCTTATTAAAGCCCAAGTGTCTTTTCCACCAGTTTCAAGTAGAGTCTTTACTGGTCCAGTTAAAGATGCAGACAGTTGTTGCTGAAAATTTAAAGGTTATATTCGTTGAGAAATTTGAGTAACAGCAAATTATCGACATAACTTTAAAAGTATTCTCAGTCATATAATAACCAAGATTTTAATAGATTATCGTGACATTACCTCATAGTTCACATTCAATTCTGACAACCTTGCACTACAAACGGATGATGCATGTGCATCTATATCACGTCGAAGTTTTTCGCGAACTCTTGAAGCATCCCAACTAGCTTGTATTACGACAGCATCTGAAAGGAGAAACATGTTAAGTAGTACTAATAACAAAGGTTCTGTTTGGTGGACAAGCATGTTAATTACCTGCACATCCTTTGTCAAACTCAAGCATGGAAGAGTGAGTACAGATACGAACATATGTAGCAAATCCTCTTCCTTTGTTTAATGATTGCTCCAGCCTCACTTTAAAATCTTCAAGCGCTTTGGAACGTACATGTCCCAACATGGTCGTGTATGCAGGGTAAACAAACTGGAAAATTAAGAGCAAAGCGAGATTAGAAGTATGATAATTTGCATCAGTACGTGGCGCTGCTATGAATCCTCAAATCAAGCTCACCGAATCCAGCCCACTGTTTAATCAGTTGGGTTTAAAGACAATATGAACTATGAACATCAGGCAATGCTACTTTCGATTATTACATAACAAGCAAGCTCCACTTGTCAATTCAGTTTCTCAGAGTGATCTTTGTCTCTTTAAGGTTTTGGTAACTAATTAGATGGAGTCATGCTTCGGGAATGATGTTTCGGTGCACATTATAGAACTTTTTGATAGGGGGCCTGAGGGAGAAAGTTTAGGCTGCCAATTGACTTAATTGTCATGCCCTTCATTTTGAGATTAGGGACACGAGTAATGTGGTATTGAAAATAATTTGGAGGCTTCTAAAACTTAAAAACCACTACTAATCACTACTTCCTTATTTCCATGGATTGTCTAAGCAACTGAAAACCTAACTAAAATCTCTGTTAAATTAGAGAGACGAAGAGAGTAGCCATACATCCAACGCTTTTGACTCCAAAAGTTGTCGTTTTGAGTTCCTTGCACCTCCGTCAAAGTAGATGGCCTCTATGTCATATCTATGATGCACAAGCGAGATCAAGACATACAATATAAGGTCATAACTAGAAAGCACAAAAGCCCATACAACACTAACAATAAAACTTCCAATGCATAGAAAATGCACACTCAAATAATAGCAGACACATACACGTTTAATAATCTGTCACCTCGGAAACGCTACTTGGTACTTGCTAGGTAACATATGAAAAATGCATTCAAACCTACTTGAATAAGTGGTCAATCCAATTGACAATCTAAAACTACTATAACTATAAGGTAATAGTAGATATATGGACTCTAATAGGATCTGATATTGATATTTCAGAAGTATAAAACAGAAATACACTAATTCAACATTTCGACTATTATATACAGTACAATGATTTCATTTTAACTTACTACCCAAAACTACAGACAAAAAGCATGACCAAAAAAAAAAAATCAGATAAAAGGATTATTTGAAAGCAGTTTATGGATAATAAAAGATTTTGTTCCTACTTTGGCATGGAAGAGTGTCGGGCCATAAGTATTAATCCCTAGCCCCCGCGTTTAGTTTGGTTACTGAGAACTTTGAGTGGATAAACTTTAGGAAAAGTTTTATTTTTTGACATAATTATTTCCACCTGGTGGAATACAAAACACGGAGCCCTTACATAGGGAGTATTTTTCCTCACCACTTTAACCCAAGGTGTATGATCACCACCCTTCTCAACACTTGACACGTGCCTATAAGCATAACCATGGTTACATAAATCAAAGTAAAAAGTCAACCATTGTTATACTTATGGACACATGTCAAGTATTAAGAAGGGTGGTCAGCATATACCTTGGGTTAAAGTGGTGAGCAAAAATATTTCCTCTTACATAAGGATATATGTTTGGTTCATAAGAACAAACAAGAAAGAAAAAACCTTTTGGCGACCAACACATTTCGTCGCTAAAAGACCACATTTTGTCGCCAAGCAGCCACTGAAGACTCATGGCCGAAAATTGATTTTCGTCGCAAACACCTTTAAGCAACCAAATCCTTTCGACGCCCTTCAAAAAGATTTTGTCGCCGATCTGTTGGTTGAAGTCTTAACCCATGCCTAAATCTGACGAAATTTTTGGCACGAAATTACAAAAGTTCCTCACTAATAACCCTATTGGGTGACCAAAGTTGTGTTGGTGGCCAAACATTTGGTATCAAAAAGAAGTTTTTTCTTGTAGTAGGCCCAACGATATAAATAGTGTGGAATGACTACTTTAGAGAGAGAGAGAGAGAGAGAGAGAGAGAGAGAGAGAGAGAGAAAATCAGATATATAATAATCAGATCACCTGAAACTACTACAACTAGAGAGAAAAAAAGAAAGAATTTTAAAGCATATTATTAGTGTACGCACTTCCTCACATCTTATGCCACCAATTTACACAAATACAATTGTTATTGAATAATAAGAACACTACAAATAAATAAATAAAAAAGGAGCAAAGTGACAATACTTCACTGGCATATGGTCTTCCAAATCTCTAACAATGAAACAAATGAAGAGCAATATATTTCATAAGTTAAAAACAAAAGTGGTGTAGAGTGTTTCTTCTCCTACTTAGATGTTCTAACAAATCCCTCTCCTTTCATCATTTAATTATAAGAATATCACAAACACAGACAGTTCACCTTTGGAATTTTAAACTTACATATTTAAACAAGGGTGAAACTTACTTCGAAAGATAGGTGCCTAGAATGGAGCTGAGCCTTTTACCAAAACCTTGTACAGGACCAGTTTGGACAGCTTCTTTCAATGCCAACCAACCCTAATTCATGTTCATCCAAGAAATGACCAATAAAACCTTCCTGATATTATACAAGCATCTCAAAAATGGAGATAAATGAGTACATACCTTATCATATATCAATTGATTGAATATCTGGTTTGCAATCTCTTCACACCGAACAGTGGCAACCATAACCTAATTAAATCATCAACAGTATATGTTCTATGCATATGAGAAGTGAAGACCACAAATTATTTTCTAACGGAAAGAAAAGAAACTAAGAAACCTTGTGAGTGGGAAGATCCAGGTCCTTGTTCTCTTTGATTACTTTCCAAATCTGTTGTGCACTAAAGGAAAATCCTGAGGCAGGGACAAGACCCCTTCTATCACCAGAAAACCCCCCTGGAGAAATAGAATGGGACAACCGCTGCCTCAGTTCAGTAACCTGCAGGATACAGGCCATAACCCGTAAGTATCATAGTAAACTTTTACAATTAATGAATTTACTTAGGAAATATAAGAACTGTGTTTTCCCTGATAGGAAGGATGTCAATCAATTCTTCATATATTATTAATGTATATATACATTACAACCCTTCTGATAGTAGAGAGGTTACCTCCTCCTTAAACTTCTCCTTCTCTTCATAACTAGACAAAACAACTACTTCTTCCTTCACGTCAAAGAATGTTGTTATCAATGACAATAAGAACACAACTCTAATGAAGACATTAAAAAGAACACAAGCTGTCAGAGAGTAGAGAAGGATATAAGAGATCTCACGCTAAAGAAATCACTGAAGCGGGTACTTTTATGGGCTTGGGGCTTCGGAACTCCATTCCATATCTGCAGAATTTACAATATCTGAGAGATACGAAGAAAACAACTAAGGTATAAAAACAACATAGTGCTGAAGACAAAATTACCTCCTCTAGCGCTTTACCGAATAATACATTCAGTATAAATTTCCTCGAACCAGGGTGCCAATGTTGAAACGGGGTCTAAAGTACAAACAGCCACAAACAAGGAAAATTTAATATGGAACAAGAAAATTATACGAGGACAACATAATCCGTTAATAAGCTCAAAAAGTATGCCCCAGACCTTTGAATTATCGTGTATAACAAACAGTAACATCGTTTTACGAGGGATGCCAAAGCGCATCACGACCTATATACATTCGAAACCAGAATTTCAATAACCGACATTCAATGCTGGATAGACAGTAGAGATATAGACATGGTTCTAGAGTACCTGAAAAAATGTTTCAAGAAAAGGTTTTTCTTGCCCGTCAAGAGACCTATATATATAATCCAATCTCCAATTAATATCTTAAATTAATTTCAAAATACATGTATACTGTAATATCATATTGACTTGATTTCCTGATAAAAAGTCATGTTTCAAGTAAAGGTTTGTCTTTTTCCTTTCTCCTTTTCTCTCTCACCACGCTGTTCTCTTTCTTTCTCTTCTTCGAGAGCCAAAAATCCAGAACCAATTGCTCCTCCCTCTTTCTCTTTAGCCTCTGTTTTTTTTTAACAGTGAAAGTTGGTAATTGCTCATGGAAAAGACAATCGGAAAATGAAAAGATTAAAACTGGGTTTTGCTTAGTCAGAAATTATTATTTTTTCCATTATTTTTCGCCTCAACCAAACATAGATCTTTTTTTATTCGGTTTTTTTATTGAACCAGGGGCAAAAACTCCAACACAACCATATAACTTACTATTATTTATGAAAAAAAACAAATCGAGCGCCAACAGTGTTACCAAAAGGGGTGGATTCCCTGTTTTATTATTTATTGGTAGAAGAATCAATTTCTAGAAGATGGAATCTGAGAAAGAAGATGGGATCAATGCTGGATTTTTGTTCTTGTGGTGGATAGCCTAGTTAGTAAAATACGGAACGAGAAAAGTAAGAATAACATACACACGTGTTTTGTTCGGTAAAACTTTCGCAAGATACAACTGTAAAGTTCGTCCACTATATAATATTTTAATATAATTTATTTAAAGCTTTTAATATATATTATTTTTATTCAATAATATGTGAAAAATATGGGTATAATACATGAATTTTGTCTGTATTATTCAAAATTTTGTAAAAACAAGTGTATTAAAGTGAAAAATATGCATATACGTGTATTGTACATTTGCTTTTTTAAAAAAGGTATATTTTACCGAGTCATTAAGACATGTACGAGAAATGGAAGTATTATGAAAATATATCTACGGAAGTGATATGAGTATTAAAAGGGAAGAGAAATGAAAGAGCAGAAGTAGGTGAGAAAAATCATGCATTAATTGTGTGAGAGGGTAAAACAGGAAAAGAATTATTTTTGTTGATTTTATATGTTTTTGAAATTCTATCACCACGTGGCATGCAACAAAGGGAGCTAGTTATAGTCGCATGAAGCATGAGTTTATTTTCATTTTGATAGTATGTGTTTTTCGATTGCATTTAATATGTATTTTATGTTATAAAGCTTATTGAAAATTAGTTAATAGAGCTATGAACAAGCATGCATATGATATGATTGATATGATTGATATGATTTAATGTATATTTTAGCTAGCCCACCTTTTGAACATTTCCTGCCTTGTTAGCTGTGATTCAGGACCATTAATTATGGGTGCATAATTTGAATAGCCTTTGCTGTATTCATGAAAGGCAAAGTCCTAATTAAACACTCAATAAGCAATAATGATATCAAAAGCTTCTTTCCAAGGATTATAGATGTTGAAAACCAATTTCAAACCAACTTTATCTTGCTAAAACAAACTACGCAAAGTAAGCTTACATATTTATCAGCACAATGTCTGAAACTACCAGAGCAAATAGGGTGCTTTGCTTCTTGAATGTATCATCCTGGAAGATAATATAATTGCAGGAAGCACAAAGAGCGATGAAATCTGATTTTAAAAAAATGGGGTTTTAACGAAAAGCTGATTACCTGGCCTCTCTCCCTGCCATCAGTACCCTCCAAATCCATGGCAATTGTGCAAGGCTCAATGCCAACACACTTGGCTATCCATATACCCTTCGTAGTTTGGCTCCTGAAGTAAATAGATACACACATATATAGCACCTATTCTAAAAACAAAAAAATAAAATTGAGTATATGATCAACTGAAAAGCTCAGAAACTGATCCCTGCTCTCGTACGGAGTCACCACTTTGGCCAACACTTTACCCCTTATGGGCCGACCCGGTGTGAGTGGGGATTAGTCTGGGTTGTGGTTAAGGTTTAAAGGTGTCACCCATAGTTGGGGCCCATCCAAGACCACCTCATGGTTCAGACAAAAAAAAATAGGCTCAGAAACTAACCTTCTACTGTTTGCAAATTGAGTAGTGAACAGATGGTTCTGTAAAGCGCTCTTCCCTGTGATTTCATAGGCAATTAATTGCGCCATATTGCTCAAGCTCAATCAATTAAATTGATTAAAGTAAAAAAGCTTCATTTTAATTACCGCTGCTCTGAGGACCCACGATGGCTACAACACCATAGGAGACTCCACACTCAGCAAGCTTCACTTCCTTGACGAACCTCTGGAGCCCATCAGCATTAAACTTACCATCTCCATAGATGAGTTGCGTGGCGCAGCAATCTTCCTCCATAAATACAATACTCTCTCAAAATCTCCAACTCTGAGAGCCCAAATATTGCAGCCTTATAGGCTCCAACTTTCAAGCACCGACTTATACAAACTTGAAGAGCAGGACGACCCAGATTCTATGCTTCCTTTGAAACTCAAGCATTATTCTTCTGAGTAAGTAAAGCTTCTTGCTTTTTGACAAAAAAGAAAGAAAAAAAAACAAGAGAAGTGAAGCTTCTTGCTTGAAGAGCAAATAAACAGAGTAAAAATGTAGACAGAGGAACTGGAGTTAGGATTCGCCACCTCTCTCTCTCTCTCTCTCTCTCTCTCTCTCTCTCTCTCTCTCTCTCTCTCTCTCTCTCTCTCTCTCTCTCTCTCTCTCTCTCTCTCTCTCTCTCTCTCTCTCTCTCTCTCTCTCTCTCTCTCTCTCTCTCCTCTACACTGAAAGCTTCGTGTTTACTACCTTATAATTAATATAACTATTTTTTATTTTAAACTTTTTTTTGGTCAAGCATGGATGTTCATATTAGTAATTTTAATTTAGTAGTAAAACATAGGAATTACTTTTGTGAAAAGGTACTGTTGATGCATGAATGATTAAAAGAATTTAATAAATAAAAGTTTTGACATGTTGATTAATGCTAGCTAGCTAATTTAATCTACCAAGTCTGCTTAAGCAAATATGGGAAAAAATAAATTTTAATTTTAATATAAGAATTTAAAAAGAAGGATGGTTAGTCTTTATTAAATTAATTTAGATTGTATTTTTACATGAATGCAACTCAAACCGTGTTAGTTAATCCTCTCGAAATTGGAAATTATGTCATGGGAGGGAAGTGTACATTTTACTTTTTAATGCTTCGAAAAAAAGGCTTTTTCAAATTTTATTCTTGGTTTATTTGTTTACAGCCACATGAAGTCTTGTTGGTAGCAGGACGACCCATATTCTATGCTTCCTTTTGAACTCAAGCCTTCTTATTCTTCTGAGTAAGTAAAGCTTCTTGCTTGAAGAGCAAACAGAGTAAATAAAAAAAATTGATAATCTGTTCTTTTGATGAATATTATTGTTTGCTGGGCGAATATACAATCTTGTATAGCTGCAGACCCAAGAAACCCTAACCGCCTATTTGCTCTCCTCGCAAGAAAAAGAGAGAGCGACCCATATGTTGGGCAAACTATGCCTTAATGTACCATGTATGTAAATCTAGGTGCATGTTTTATCTCCTCATCCCCTTTCTTCTCCTTCCCTCCTTTCACTACCTTCTTTGTTCTTTTGTTTTGTGATGCGGAAACAGTCACCTTAAAACGATGTTATCGTCATGAAATAGTCGTCATCTTTTGACCTACACATATAAGGAAGATGTTAGGTTTGTGTCGGGTTTGCGATAGCCGTTATGGCCCTATGTGTCTCTTTCGGCTACTCTGGAGGATGTGAAGCACTACTCTTTTGTCTGTTCAAGTCTAATAATTCTCATGAACTCTTTAAAAGTTTGTTGTGGTTTGTCTTATCTTTAGGTTGTTTTATTTCTATTTTGCTTTGGCCTTCGATACAAATTTTTTGTTGATGTGGTTGCACGGCTCATCTGGATTGCAAGTTTGAGTACATGTGCTTCTAGTTGCTTAATTGGGGATTTTAGTCATCTTTGGGTTGTCCCTGATTCTCTCTAGATCAAATAAACAGGTTGATGTGTTTTGGTGACTCCACAAGATTTACCCATATTAGACACAACATACTTTATACTTTTGTTTGTTTGTCAATAAAATAACTTTCGTTTATTCTAAAAAAAGATGCAACAAATATGACCACTGTTTCATTTGAAGAGAAAAGGAACAGTACGAACAAGCAAGTTGGGAATTCCAAATAATTAAACAATGTGCACAAACTTAGTACTCTGAACGGCCATAATTACTTTAAAAGGAGCATAAATTGATTGAAACCATGAACGACCATCACCATAATAGCCCACGGAGGAGGCAACCAGTTGTTACTCCGCTTGTAAGCCTCCTAAGAATTCAAAAGCAAACAGAATCATATACATTACGTTTGCAGGATTGGATTGAGCTTCTAAACATAAAGATAGGTTGAAAATATTAGCATGCCGGGTTTCCTTTGTAGAAAAACAAGAATACATAAACTTGCCGTTACTAAGCCAAGAGTTAGCTCATTTTCCAATATTAAGTGTTTCGTTCCGGAACTTCATATATACAATGTTTCTTTTTTCACTACTAAACCAAATCCAATCTACATGAATAAGAACTCCATCCCAAATGTCATGCACAATGCACACATCATATTTCAAAGTTTCTACGACTACTTGCCCATTGCATTTCCAAGTACATACATCACTAGTTAGATCTCCGTAATTCAAATCCATACAAAAGAAGTTATAGAATATACCTGCGCTAAAATAGCTTCAGTGACACTATACTCAGTCTCTGTTTTGAACTCTCCCCACAAGGACTTGCACTGCACTGGAGTAATTAAGGTATCCTTTGAAGAAACCTAGTTCAAAGTTAACCCTTAATAAGAAACCAGTTTGATGAAAGAAAGCTTATACAAACGAACCAAAACCCATAAAATGGTACCTCTTCCCAAGTGCTTGAGGCAAGAGGGTATGCAGAAGCTCCTATCCTCATATCTTGTGAAGATGAAACAGTAAGAGTTCCATCCATCAAAGAAGAAAAAAGAACTTTTTCAATATGATCTGGCTTCTCATCCAAGCGGATGGCAGCCATGATTGACAAAAGGTTCAGAGCCTGCAAGAAATATATAATAAAAGACATTAAAATATCACTTTAACACAAAAAGACAGATAACATTCTTCCACAAAAGTTCCCAATGATTACCGCAGAGCAAGCATCCTTGGTAATACTTCTAATGTCTTCTTTCTCAGTCCAAACCCGAGGCATTGAATCACTGTCACAACTGAAGACTTTGAAAAACCTGAGAAATGTTAACATAGATGATAAGCAACAAAAATGACAATGAAAAAAGAAGAGAAAATATATTGACAACAAGTCCTCTACCGATCCTTCATGTGAATCATAATTTTTGTAGCCTCTTCTCTTGCAATTTTCTCCACCACATTCCTTGAGTATTGCTTTAAATGTTGCAACATTTTGGCAATTGTTTCTTTGTCCAACTCAAAATCGGAAATTGCAGTTGAAAACTTTGATATTGCAACTTCAGTTTCACGATTAAGTAGTTTTCTTATTGAACCCCAAGTGTCTTTTCCACCAGTTTCAAGCAGAGCCTCTACTGGTCCAGTTAAAGATGCAGCCAGTTGTCTCTGCAAAATTAAAGGTTATTTTCGTTAAGAAATTTGAGTAACAACATATTATCAAGATAGCTTTAAAAGTATTCTAAGTCATATAATAACCAAGACTTTAATAGATTATCATAACATTACCTCATAGTTGACATTCAATTCTGACAACTTTGCACTACAAACGGATGATGCATGTGCATCTATATCACGTTGAAGTTTTTCAAGAACTCTTGAACCATCCCAATTAGCTTGTTGTATGGCAGCATCTGAAAGGAGGAACATGTTAAGTAGTACTAACAACAAAGGTTCTGTTTGGTGGACAAACATGTTAATTACCTGCACATCCTTTGTCAAACTCAAGCATAGAAGACTGAGTACAGGTACGAACGGATAAAGTAAATCCTTCTCCTTTGTTTAACGATTGTTCCAGCCTCACTTTAAAATCTTCAAGCACTTTAGAATGTACATGTCCCAGCATGGTTGTGTACACGGGGTAAACAAACTGGAAAATTAAGAGTAAAGGGAGATTTAAACTAAAATAAGCATGATAACTGACATCAGTGGCTGTTATGAATTCTCAAAACCTACCACACCAAATCCAACCAACACTTTAATAAGTTCAGATTTAAAGACAATATGAACTATAAATATCAGGCAATGCTACTTTCAAGTATTACATAACAAGGAAACTCCATTTGTCAATTCAAGTTCTCAAAGCTTGTCAATATAAGCTTTTGGTAACTAATTAGAAGGAGTCACGCTTCGTTAATGATGTTTTTTGCACATTTTACAACTTTTTGATAGGGCTACCTAAGGGAGAAATTTTAGGCTGCCAATCTTCATTATCATGCCTTTCATTTTGAGATGAGTTCCCGAGACACGAGCGAGTAATGTGGTATTGAAAATAATTGGAGGCTTCTAAAACTTAAAAACCACAACTAATCACTACCTCCTTATTTCCGAGGATTGTCTAAGCAACTGAAAACCTGACTAAAATCTCTGTTAAATTAGAGAGACGAAGAGAGTAGCTATACATCCAACGCTTTTGACTCCAACAGTTGTCGTTTTGAGTTCCTTGCACCTTCGTCAAAGTAGATGGCCTCTATGTCATATCTATGATGCACAAGCAGGATCAAGACATACAAATAAAGTCAGAACTAGAAACAATACAAACCCATACAACACTAACAATAAAAACTTCAATAGTGCATAAAAAGCACACACACAAATAAGCAGACACATGCACATTTAAGAATCTGTTCACAAGGAAACACTACGTACTTGCTAGTTTTAGTGGTTGGACAAAAAACAGTAGACATAGCACGCGGCATGCGAAAAAGTGAATTGAAACCTATTTGAATAAGTGGTAAATCCAACAGACAATGAAAAATTACTCTGACTCTATGGTAATAGTAGATATATGGGCTCTAATAGCATATGATTCATTTTAGAAACATAAAATGGACATACCCTATACTTAGCTGGTATTTGGTTTTCCAAATCTCCTTTTTTTACAATGAAACAAATGAGGAACAATACTTCATAAGTTTTTTCTTATAGAAAAAGATTAAACAAAACAAAATTGGTGCAAAGTACAGTGCTGGTAAAGGGAAAAAGAAAGGAAACATAGTTTTTCTTCTTCTACTTAGATGTTCCACCAAATCAACCTCCTTTCATAATTTAATTATGCGAAAATCATGAACACAAACAGTTACAACCACTCCTTGTTTATTTTTGGAATTTTGAACTCGCA